TCATGAAGTGGAACTGAAACACCGTGGGATTGAAGTGTCATGCTCATGTGCTTCAAATCGATTGCGGCCGCGAGTGCGCGAAGGAGTCGAACCGGCAAAAGCAATGGTACATCACCTTGAACGACTGTGGTTTCAAGAACACCGTTGACTCCCCCGATACCCAATTAATGGTATCAATGCAACGCCCTCGACCACAGCACTGCCCCCTACTCCTTTGGCAAAGGATTGTTTGGGCACTCATTTGATACGAAGTCCTCGAACTGCGAGTTCCCGTTCGAGACGAGCCAGGGGTTCTCTTCCAACCAAACCACCTTCTGCAGCCGCGTCGATGGCTTTTAGTGGACCATACACGCCGCATGCCCGCTTCACGTATATCTCCGTTGACTCGGCTCCACGATCTCCAGCGACAGGGCCCTTGTTGGCTCGCTGGTCCTGAACAAATCGGCGAAGCCAGAACTGGTGCGGCTCGCTCGTAGTTGAACAAAGAACGGTCGGGCTTCTGACTTTGCTGCTTGGGATGCCGGGGGATTTTGGCATTCTCTCTCCCAATGCCCGACCTGGAAACATCGCCCGCAGCGGGTCCTCAACTTCAGCTGCTCTACACGCACCCGGCGCTTGCCTTTGTCAGCGCCTGACGGGTGTCATTGTAAGCGGCCAGGGCCTGCGTGACTTCTTGCTCATCCATCACTTCATCAAGGTCTCCATCCGCAAGGTAGATGTAATCTCCTCGTCCTCCAATCCATCCTGGTAGCCATCATCGTCCAGGTCATAGTGGCCACCGGAGGCATTCTGAAGGACATAGATAGTGCTCTTCCGTGACATGGCTGCTCTTTGCCCTTGTCCAGCCTTCGGAGCACATGCGTGCTCTCCGAACCTTTCCGCCCAGGTGAGAAGCCGTTGTTCTTGCGCTTCGTTGAGAGCGGCCTGGCGGAACATGATGTAGCCCTTTGCACCATCAGGCAAGTCCACACCTTCCTTCGCTAGGTTGATGAACGCCCGCTCCATGCGCTTGGTGTACTCAGCGAAGCTCTCTTTGTGGCCTTGAGGGCCATACACCGCCGTCTCGAAAGCTCGTGGCAGCGACACTTCCAAATGGGGCAGGAAGTACTCGCGAAGCTTATTGAGGACGTTCTTCACGCCGTCCTCGCATGCGATGTCCTTCATCTCGAGCTCGTCGACAGCGACTGCTGCCACCCCAGTCAGCTGGCGCAGCAGCTTCACGCCCCGCTTTGCTTTGGCCACTTCTGTTTCAAATTCCCAAAGCTCCACATGCTTCTCATACTGCCGGAAGGTCGTCTCCGGGTTCTCCCCGTCGTAGCGTCGTAGCCCGGCGCAAAGTCCCTCTCGCGCCCCGAGCCCCCTCGCAGCAGCAAAACGTTCAGGCCGTCAGGATTCGTGTTCTTCGATCCTCCACTCATCTCGAAGCTCTCGCACTCCCCGGATCAAAGCACCTCGGCTCCGCGGTACCACTGTTGTACCCTCGGACCACGCAGCCACTAAAGCGCTGTACTCTCCATAGCGTGGCAAAAGCTCGAAAAGGGTTGGATCGGGATACGGCCCCTATGGTTCGAGCCGTTCGTCAGGTGCAGGCTTGGGATCAACCATGGTTCCATCAATCGCTTGAGTTTCACAGAGGCCAAAAAACTCAACACGGCAACCAGGCCCACGACTAAGAATGCGGTCTAGCGCGCATTGCGCAACGTGCACTGAGAACAAAGCCAACCTATTGTTGATCAACAAGTTTTGTGCCTGGTGCATACTTCAAAAACTCTTCAAAATGAGCTTAACCTGAGTATTGTAGTGCAAACGCGAACTGAAACATGCAGCATGCCATAGCAATCCATAGCATGCTCCCTGTCCCTGTCACATTCCCTACCCACAGGCACCCTGAAAATAGAAAGCAGTGTTGAACTGTCACGTGTTCAATCCAATGATTGAAATGTGGGCCGCGCCTTCACTATGCCGCTTTTCTTCACAAAGCCTCTCAGTGCTCTGAAGAACAAGTGCCTGGCAAGTGGGTTTGTGAAGTTTTGGCGTCTGTCATTCTTGCCCCCCATGAACATTCCAAGCCGTTTGTATCTTCGCGGAACCTCGTCAATTTTCCATCAGGTCTAAAAGGCATTGCCATATGGGGAAACACATTGGCACGATAGGAAACAGACTTATATAATTACAAGTTCAAGAGAAGCTCAAACCAAATAAACATAATGCAGCACGGTCGCATCAAGTTTTCATGCCGCCAACCTGAAGATCAGCGCAATCGCGTGCAAAGTTTTACAGTAAGTATCCCGTTACTATGCACAACCCTACCCGGGCGCGGCACGAACAAAGGGATGCCCATCAAAAAAGCCCTGCACAACACCTCAGGGGAGAAGACAACGGTGCAACGCTGCAAGACCATACTCGCTGTGTCTGGCCTCTGATGTGGGCTTCGGATATTTAAACATATCTAAAAGGTCGAAACTGGCCACGCAAAGCTGTAGCCTGCGTGAGGGAAATTGTAGTACACTGCCCCGAATTTGTTCTCCATGCCCTTGAAGCGTGGATCAACTGCGAGCCTGACATGCTTTGGTAGATCATTTCCCAGAACTCACACCCCTCTGCTTTAACTCAATGACTGCAAAGCCTTGTGGCATCGACATTGTGTAGGACTTCTGACCTCGTGAATAATTGCGATTGCTCCATCAGTTCTCTCTTTCAAAAAGACTTGCATCTCTGATAAATTTCACGGGTGTTGGGTTGTGGAGTCTTTTGTGGCAACTTGTAGAGGTTTCATGTCGCTGCTCAAATGTTGTAAATCATTTGGACGAGCGGTTCTTTCAAGTGTTTGCGAACTGTCTCTGCGAGAAACATGAGAAACAGCCACATGTTTGCTGCAGTCTTCGCAGCCTTTGGAAATGCAAATTGGGCATCGGGCATTTTGTCTTCCAACGATTTGATAGTCTGGTCAATTTCTGTGTAGCGCCTCGCATTCAAGCATTGCGCACACTGCCTGTCATTTCAACGGTGCGGATACCCTCAACATCAAATATTGCAACATATGCCAACAAACAGCTGATCGAATGGGCCCCGCTCAGCATGGGGGCTCCAGTCTTATAAATGTGTATTCAATTGCCGAGAGACTCCCTGAGAGTTTCGATTGTCTCAAAGGTGGTCGCTACCAGTCGACCAACATGTCCAAGGCCTGAACGGATTAAACAAATACCAGCAATCATGAATTTGATCCCTCAATCAAGCTATGGGTGCACTGACTCAAAAACGATGAACTGATTGTATATGTGGTGAATTCGAAATACGTTCCACATCGTTCCACCAACGAAAACTTCCAACCAAAAGCAAGGAATGAATCCAAAGGGTTCGCATTTAAACGCTCACATTGTTCTCTTCAAGTTAAGCGCGTCCTTTCTGTAAATTGTTCCTGGACTCATTGATAACTACCTTTTTGTCCCCAAACAAAATGGCCAAGACTTGGCTGGCTGATGTCCCTTGTGAAAACCCTTGCGAATCTAAATTAAATATCACCCTATTGCGCAATATCTGCCGCAATAGCTTTCTGCACCATGATAACATCTACACATTAATGAAAACAGTTCTCAATTGCTATCAGTTTTTGCGCGGCCATGAATTCTAACCGGCCGATGTGTGAATTTTTGGGGGAGTCTCGAATGAAATGGGCAATCCTGCGTGCGGTGTGTTCTGATTGCAGCGCGGGAAGGGATTGCAGTACTTTTTTGCACAAAGGATCGCGAAGGCCATTTAGCAACCTAATAAGTACACAAGTGCTTTTGAGGACGTTTAACATTCATGGGGGACTTACGCTTGCGAGGTATTTTGTCCAGGGAACAAGATGTGAGGCGGTCACATATCAACCTTGTCAATCACGTGAACAAAGAGAAGGCTTGCTGTCAGTATTACTGTGACAAAAGGAGTTCTTGTTGATGCTGATGCTGGGGTCAATAGCCGGCACCCCCTCCAGACGGAGGGACCCTTGATCCATCTTCTAAAGGCCGCTCTGCTCCGCAACCTACTAGTGATGGCCTCCAACCTAATAGCGGTGGCCTCCAACCTAATAGCGATAGCCTCCAACCTAAGAGCTGTGGCCTCCAACCTCACAGCGATGGCCTCCAACCTAATAGCGATGGCCTCCAACCAAATAGTGCTGGCCTCCAACCTAATAGCGATGGCCTCCAACCTAAGAGTGTTGGCTTCCAACCTAAAAGCAATGGCCTCCAACCTAATAGCGGCGGCCTCCAACCTATTAGCGATGCCCTCCAACTTAATAGCGATGGCCTCCAACCTAAGAGCGATGGCCTCCAACCTAAGAGCGATGGCCTCCAACCTCATAGCGACGGCCTCCAACCTAAGAGCGATGGCCTCCAACCTAAGAGAGATGGCCTCCAACCCCTAAGATAACCTAAGTATAGCGATGGCCTCCAACCCAAGAGCGATGGCCTCCAACCTAATAGCGACGGCCTCCAACCTAAGAGCGATTTTCCTCCAACCTAATAGCGATGGCCTCCAACCTAAGAGTGATGGCCTCTCCGACCTAAGATAACCTAAGTATAGCGATGGCCTCCAACCTAATAGCGATGGCCTCCAGCCTAAGAGCAATGGTCTCCGACCTAAGAGCGATGGCCCCCAACCTAAGAGAGATGGCCACCAACCTAAGATAACCTAAGTTTGTGTTCGCCGGAACCAGGCTAACTCTTAACTCTGTGAATCTTGCAAACAATAAAAACCGAAAAAGAATGCACAAAAATAAGCAAATCCAAAAAAGCAACTACAAAAAGCAAAAGCAAAACAAACATATCAAAAAAACAAAAAAGCGAATGAAAAAGCAAAAGCAAAACACAAAGCAAATCAAAAACGCAAAATGAAAAAGCAAAAGCGAAAAAACACAAATACAAAAAGCAAAAGCAATTTTCTGTTTTTTTTTTTTTAAATACGCTTTCTTCTTCGCTTTTTTTCGTGTTTCCGCTTTGTTCGTGCTTTTTTGTTTTTCGCTTTTTTGTTGTTTTGCTTGCCAGCATTGTTTCGATTTGTTTTTGTCCTTTTTTTTGGGGTGTGTGTGTTTTTCCCCAATAGCCATGCTATGGGGTCTTGCAAAACTAATAGGCGGACGGGCCCCGTCGGGTCACCGGCAGATCTGGTGTGATGGTGTCCTGGTCATGCTGTGATGGTGTCCCGGTCATGTTTTCATGGTGTGTTGGTCATGCTGTGATGTTGTGTCGGTCATGTTGTACAGGTGTTGCTTGATCGTAATTAGCTGGTGTGTCGGTCATGTTGTTTGGTTAGTTCCTGGAAAGCTTGGCAGCTTCAGGTTCTTGACGATACTGATTCTTATGTTGCTTTGCCGTTTTTGTTTTGCAGTTTTGACAAAGACACAAAAGGCGAGAAGTCAGATTTTCTGCACTGTGAAGTGACAGCATGCAGATTTCACAACAAAGGATTATAGCGAACATATGATATGCCAAAAAATGAATAGATGCCATTGATTTTTGAAAACCCACGAAGTCGGCTGTGATGGCAATGGTGGTTCGGCGGAACCTCTGAAGATCGAAGGACTGTCGTTTTTTTTGTTTCCTGCTCTCGACATCTCTATTTACATTTTGTTCGAAGGAAAGATTGCAGTGAGCATGACATGACAACAAAAGAACGCAGTTGTGAGATCATGAATTGTGCGACCTGTTTGCTTCAGCTTTTTAGCTTTCATTTCTTGGGGTTCATCCTTTTCCTCGGCCGTTCGACTTTCATGGCTGAGACTAAGCTGAACAATTTGCGACCCGATGTGGTTGCCAAGGTCAGCTTTGAGTTTCGGCTTTTTGCTCCGACCGTTGTAGCCAATTTGCCGTGCAAGTCTGGGACATGGAGCAAGTGGATTTGCACCGTGATAGATGCCCATGGCCAGACGGCTCAGTTACGCAGAAGTTTCTTCGGAGCCAACCAAGAAGCGCAAGTCAAATCCTTTGCTTCGAAATATGCGCATGGCAGCTGCTGGTCCGTCAACCCTGATCGAAAGCCAGGCCTAGGCCTTAAAGGAGCGAAAAGTGACAAACGGTACACTTCCACCACTTCACCGGTTGAGCTGGAGGTTTTGGACAAGACTCTTCTTAGTGCCCTTGGTGAAGATCGGTCCGCTTTGATTCCACAACGGCGGCCGATTCGAATGGCTCTCAGCGAGGTCTTGTCTAAAGACACCGAGTCTCGAGTGGACCTTCTTGGCATCCTGCCTGCGCTTGGATTTCGTTGCCACAGAAAATCGTTTTTGCAATATGTCACTGTTCTGGAAAACTGTTTTGTTGCAAAGTTATTTTGTTGCAAAACTGTTTTGTTGCACAGGGTGTTTTTCTGGTAGCAAAC